TGTGATGAATGCGGCTGCATTTGCACAGCTGCCCCCGCGGTGCCCGCAGGCCCGGCCCTGCACCCAGGCGGCTCCGTACGGCCCTGTCCCACCACCGTCCTCTCCCTCCTGCCCCGGCCCTCACCTGGCGCATCCTCTGTGCGCTCGGCCTGCCCTCAGCGGGCCGGGAACGGGCGTTCGCCTCTTTACCGACGGGCATCTCCCACGTCCTGGGACGCTGAAGTGCCGTAGGCTTCCAGGGAAACTGCTGCCTCCTGAGGGAGGCTGCTCCTCTGGCCTGGGGTGCTCCAGGGCTCTCGCTCCTTATATACCCCACGGTCAGCACGGGGGTACCTCCGTCACAATGGCCTCCGGGCACAAGGACTCCCCCTTCATCACAAAGCCTCTGAGGTCACGATGGCGATGCCTGCACCCATGACTGATGCCAGGCAGTCCCACAGCGTCTCCACAGCGACCACCGAGGCTTTGTGATGGCGGCGGCCCCAGGGCTGCTGTGGGCACTCAGAGAGTCAACCAGGTTGGAAAAGACCTTTAAGGTGATCAAGTCCAAGCATTCCCCAGCATAGCCAAGGCCGCCACTAACCCATGGCACTGAGGGCCTCGTCTACACGGTGTATGAACGCTTCCCGGGAAGGTGACTCCACCGCTGCCCTGGGCAGCCTGCTCCAATGCCTGAGCACCCTCTGCGAAAGCAATTGTTCCTAAACTCAGTCTGGTGCAGTTTGAGGCTGCTTCCTCTCATCCTATCTCTTGTTCTTTGTGTGAGGAGAGAGGCACTTCCTGGCTCCGTCTTCCTGTCAGGTAGCTGTTGAGAGCAGTAACCTCCCCCGAGTCTTCTCCAGACTGAACCCCCCCAAGGTCCCTCAGCCCTTCCCCATCACACTTGTGCTCCAGGCCTTTCACCAGCTCCGCTGCCCTTCTCCGGCCCCGCTCCAGCACCTCAGTGTCTCTCTTGTAGTGGGAGCCCAGGTGTGAACACAGAATTTGAGGGGTGGCCACACCAATGCCCAGTAGAGGGGGTGTCCCCTGTCACGGCCCTGGTTCTGCTGGCCGCGCTAATGCTGATACAGGCCAGGATGTTTGCAGGTTCAAGCCCCTGCCCTTTGCCTCATACCATTGGCCACAGCTCATAGATCCAGCTGGTCCAGATCCCTCTGCAGAGGTTTCTGCCCTCTAGCAGATCAGCACTCCCACCCAACTTGATGTCATCTGTACAGTGCTTCGGGTCCTTGCCTCCCATCCTATTATGATGGTGAGTAGAGCATTCCAGACGTAGTGAAGAAGAGTACTTTTTGGATGGACAATGCCATGCATTGCCCCTGGAGCCATCAGGGAAAGGCAGGCTGCCCAGCAAGGCTTGGTCCCGCTCCTGATAAGCAGCCCATCGTTCTGTCACCTTCACCTTCACATACCTGAGCTACCTCACACATATTTACAGGCTTTATCCTTGCAGCAGCTCCAAGCCGTTCTTCTTATTCCTCCCATCCCTTCTACAAATCCCTCATGCCCATTAGAGTGCTGCAGCATGCAGCTGGCTTCAAAAGGCAGCTGACGTGTGAGCCACCGCATCACACCCTGCTTCATGCCATCGGGACGCGCTATTCCTGCATGGGCAGCACGTGCTGCCCAGAGGCAGCAAGTCTGCAAGCCCACCAGCTGGGAAGTGCCTCAAGGAAAGAGGTCGCTCCCCAGGCTTCTACACTGCTGACACGAGGGAAAAGCAGTAGGCGGCAGAGGCGAGCAGTGGGGGGAAAGGGGAATGGTTTATTGTCCCAAGAAGGTGTCCGCAGCGAGCGCAGCCTGCAGCACGATGTCCTGAGCGCAGCTCTGTCGGGGCTGGCGCCGGCAGTGGGGCACTACTCCTGCTCTTGTGTGTCCATGGAGGAGAAGCTGGAAGTCTTGCCTGGAGAATTCATTGCTCTCCTGAAGCGGGATGGTTGTCGCTTCATGAATGAGACCTGCAGAGCTCTGTCCGCAAGTATGCACTGCCTTGGGGCACGTGCCTGTGATGCTGCCTCCTCAGCGTCGTAGGGTTCAGAGCCAGGGGAAGCTGGTACCAGCTCCTCCTCTTGTGTCAGGGCATCGAGAGGTGTGCGGTGCTGCTCTTGCTCAGCAGCTGCAGGCAGGGTGGGAGCTGCTGGCTCAGTGTCAGTGGGTCCAGTCAGGGCAGGAGACAGGCTCTGTAGCTCCTCAGCAGCCTCTCGTGCTGTCTCTCGTGCTGCCTCTCCTGCTGCAGCTGTGCCCACACTGCTGGGGCTGCTGGATCCCTCCTGGGGACCCGCGTGGCGGGCCTGGGAGAGCTCTGGTGCAGAGGTGTCGCCATAGGTGTCCCGTACGCTGATGGCTTCCTCCTGGGACAGCTCTTTGTCCCTGTCATTTTGTGACTCGGTTTTCACCTCCTCTGCCTGTTCCTTGGCCGAGTTTGCTGGCAGTAGCAGGCAGAGGCGAGCAGTGGGGGAAAAGGGGTATGGTTTATTGTCCCGAGAAGGTGTCTGCAGCGAGCGCAGGCTGCAGCACGGTGTCCTGAGCGCAGCTCTGTCAGGCCTGGCGCCGGCAGTGGGGCACTACTCCTCTACCCGTGGGTTCATGCAGGAGAAGCTGAAAGTCTTGCGCAGAGACTTCATTGCTCTCCTGAAGCGGGACGATCGTCGCTTTTGGAGCGCTCCTGCATCCGGCTGGGTGGCAGTGCCTGCGGGGATAGGAGAGCTGTAGGCATGGGGCTGGGTGGGCGCTGGGCAAGCTCCTGCTGCCACCCAGCACCGCGGGCTTTCCCCGGGGGCTTTCCACTGAAGGCTTTTTGGCCCTCGCCCACGGAGTGGAGGCCGGGGCACAGGTGAAGTCATGTTCACGCTGCTGCCAGCCTGGCCTGGCTGCCACTCGACGCAGGGACGTACCTGACTCGTCCTCAGTGTCCTGAACTGCTGCAGGTGACACTGGCGGTTCCTCCTCTTGTGCTGCCCGTGAGGCAGGGGCACTGCTGGCCTCACCTTGATGGTTTTCAGATGCTCTCCTGAGTACTTTGCGCACGAATGAGAGCTGCAGAGCTCTTTCTCTAAGTGTGCGCCGCCTTGGGGCAGGTGCCTGAGATGCTGCCTGCTCTGCGACACAGGATGCAGAGCCAGGGGAAGCTGGTGCCGGTGCCTCCTCGTCCTCTTGTGCCAGGGCAGCGAGAGGTGTGCGGTGCTGCTCTTGCTCAGCAGCTGCGGGCAGGGTGGGAGCTGCTGGCTCGGTGTCTGTGGGTCTGGCCAAGGCAGGAGACAGGCTCTGCAGGTCTCCAGCTGTCTCTTCCAGAGCTGCCTCTTCTGCTGCCTCTCCTGCTGCGGCTGTGCCCACGCTGCTGGGGATGCTGGATCCCTCCTGGGGTCCCGCGCGGGGTGCGTGGAAGAGCTCAGGCACCAAGGGGTTGACATAGATGTCCCGTATGGTGATGGCTTCCCCTTGGGACAGCTCTTTGTCCCAGTCACGTTCTGAGGACTCCTTCACCTCCTTGACCAGGGCTCTGGTCCGTATGTTGCCCTTGATGACGTCCAGCAAATGGGACAGCAGTTGGTCTCTGTCCTCTTCCCTTTTGTGGTCGTTCTCCTCTTCCTGCTCCTTCTCAGTGGGCAGTTCCTCCTGTAATCACACAACCGGGATGCAGGGGATGAGTGTGCTGCAGCTGGGCAGCGTAGTGCCTGGTCCCAGGCAGGAGCAGGCTCATCCCCCTGTGTTGTCCCATCCATCATTGGCGCTCACCTGTAGGTACTGGAACAACGCCCTGTGTCTCGGGCAGCAATATTGCCTCTGGCTGTCTTGCAGCTGGAGCTCCCTCTCCTCAGGGCCTCCCAGCAGCCCAAGCAGGCTGGCTGTCCTCTGCCTGTCCAGACTGTGCCTGCTGCTGGCAGTGCTGCTCCTCTTCTGCCCCTCCAGGACCTCTGTCCAGGCGATCACCAGGAATGTCTCTGCCACACGCAGCCTGGGGGAGGCACCTGCCTCCTGCACCTCGAGACCTGTGGTGCTGGGCACATGCGCCTCAGTCACTGGGGGCTGAGATTCCTGATCTGAGGGAGAAGCAGCTGCATGTCCTTCTATGCCTGCTCCTGGGGCAAGGTGGGGTGTCGCAGCCTCTGCCCCTGGGAGCTCTGTCAATGAAAATGTCGTTTCACCCTTTTCTGCTGCTGGGGAGACAACAGCATTGGTGGCCTCTTCTTGCTGTTCTCCCAACACGGGTGACACCATGTCTTGTACACCTCCTGCTGCTGCAGTAGCGGGAGGGGCTGTGGCCACATGAGACCCAGCGTCCTCAAGTGCTGCAGGACTGCTTGTGGGCACCGCCACATACAAACACTGTGTCGTGTCCCGGTGTTCCAGAGGCTGCTGTTCGGTTCCCCTGACCACAGCCACAGAGTGGACCATAGGCTCCCACTCTGTGGGTGTGGATATCACCTGCAGAGCTGTGTCACATACTGCGAGGCTCTGCGGGACACGTGCCTGTCTCGGTGCCTGTGCTGCTGCCTGCGGCTCGTCAAAGCCAGGGGAAGCTGGTGCCGGTGCCTCCTCGTCCTCTTGTGCCAGGGCAGCGAGAGGTGTGCGGTGCTGCTCTTGCTCAGCAGCTGCGGGCAGGGTGGGAGCTGCTGGCTCGGTGTCTGTGGGTCTGGCCAGGGCAGGAGACAGGCTCTGCAGGTCTCCAGCTGTCTCTTCCGCTGCCTCTTCTGCTGCCTCTCCTGCTGCGGCTGTGCCCACGCTGCTGGGGATGCTGGATCCCTCCTGGGGTCCCGCGCGGGGTGCCTGGGAGAGCTCAGGCACCAAGGGGTTGACATAGATGTCCCGTATGGTGATGGCTTCCCCTTGGGACAGCTCTTTGTCCCAGTCGCATTCTGAGGACTCCTTCACCTCCTCCGTCTGTTCCTTGGCCAGGTTTGCTGGCGCCTCCTGTAAACACAGCGCAGAACATCAGAGCTAACAGCTCTCTCCCCAGCCACATCTCTCTCAGGGCTGCAGGTGCTTGTGTGGGTGCTGTGCTGTGGGCTGCCTTCTCCCTGTGGCCCCGTGACCTGCGCCAGGGCTGCTGGTGCATCAGCCCGCCCCTTGGGTTCCAAGGCTGCTGCTGGTGGCTGCTCACTGGGAGGGAGGTCCCTCACAGGCTGCTCTCCTTCACAGCCTTTGCTCGAGAGGAGTTTGAGGGGCGGGGAAGCAAGAGCACAGGCAGGGGAAGGAGGGAATGTCAGCGGGATGGCACAGGGGGCACCAGCAATGTCCCTGCCAAACATCCCTGGGGATCTGGGTCTGCCTCCAGCACCTCAGGATCTCCGGTGCCAGCCTGATGCGTGTGGCTTACCTGGCAATCAGAGTCATGAGCTGAGGGAGAAGCTGCTGCTTCTCCTTCATCGTCGTTCCCCTTCAGGGGATCCACATCGGGGGGCTGGAAGATCTCCAGGATCGAGGCTTTGATCCAGATGTTGCAGTTGGTGGCATCCTGCAGCTGGGACAGTTCTCTGTCCTCTTCCCTTCCTTGGTCCTCCTCTTCCTGCTCCTTCCCAGCCCTCGGTTCCTCCTGAGATCGCACAACGGGGATGAGGGGATGAGTGAGCTGCAGCTCAGCAGCGGAAGAGCTGGCCCCAGGCAGGGGGAGGCTCATCCCACTGTGCTGTCCCATCTTCTTCTCAGCACTCACGTGTCTGTGTTGGAGGTCCCGCTCCTCAGGGCCATCCAGCTGCCCATGCAGGCCGGCTCTCCTCTCCTCTGTCTTGGGGAGCACCAGGAATCTCCCTCCCACACGCAGCCCCGGGGAGGCAGCTCCTTCCTGCACCTCGGTATCTGTGGTGCCGCCCGCACGTGCCTCAGTCACTGGGTGCTGAGCATCCTGAGGCAAAGGAGAAGCGGCGGCGTCTCCTTCTTTATGTGCTGCGGGGGCAAGGTGGGGTGTGACAGCCTCTGCCCCAGGGATCTCTGCCAGGGCAGCTGCAGCTTTCCCCTCGTCCGCTGCCAGGCAGGCAAGGGTTCTGCTGTGCTCCCCCTGAGGCTTTGCTGCCCCAGGCGACTTGAGTGTTGCAGGTGGCATTGCCACCTTGGCCCCGGGCAGGCTTTTGGTCATGTCCTTCTGTTCCACCTGCCTCTTCTTGGTTTTCTGGGGCACGGCCACAGGTGGGAGCAGAGGCTTCCTCTCTTTGCCTGTGCCTGTGACCTGCAGAGCTGCCTTGAATCCTCTGCCGCTCTGCGGGGCAGGTGCCTGTCTCTGTCTCTGCGCTGTGGGCTCCTGCTTGCCAAAGCCATGGGAAGCTCGTGCTGGTGCCGCTGGAGGGAGAGGTGCCAGTTTCTCCTTAGTAGCTCTGGGCAGGCAGCTCCCCTTTGGCTGCTCCCTAGGGTTGATCTTGCTGGGCAGCGGGGGCAGACGCTGTGGAAGCACCTTGTGGTGTAGCCCCAGCGACCTGGTGTTGAGGCTGTCCTTGCTGCCCGTCGTCAGCATGGCTGGCAGGTGCTCGGCCACTCTCCCAGCGTTTCTCAGTGTGGGCTGAGTGGCAGGGGCCTTGCTGCTCTTGGCTGCCTGGACAGTGGCTGTTCTTGTGCTTGTCCCGGCAGCCCTGCTGCGTGGTGGCTCCTGCTGTGCCGCTGGCTGCTGGCGGGGTTCCTGCCTCCTTGCCACAGTTGGCAGCCTGCGGGAGCTGCTCATGGGTGTCTGTGAGCGAGGCGGTGGCAGGGGTGTCATTGCCACCACTGGTGGCAGACGAAGCGTCTGCTGCTGCGTTGCGCCGCTGCTGCGGGGCAGCACCACTCGGTGCCCCAGGCTGCCCGTCTGCAAGAGAAGCCGAGGAGAGGCTGTGTGATGGTGTCCCTTGTGTCTGTGTCACAGCTTATGCAGTTGTGCTCCCCTGCCAGCCCCAGGGCAGGGCTCAGCCCCGCAGGGAGCTGCCGCTTGCCCCCCAGTCCGGCAGGGGAGAGGGCTGGCCACCCGCAGCCCACGGCCACTGCCCAGAGCACCCCCGGCGTGCCCGGGCAGCCTGACGGGCACGGCACGGGGGGCTCAGCTTGCTCCCTCCTGCTCCTCCCGCTCCTCCCATGGTCGGGAGGACATTCAGCCCCGTCTCCCTCGCTCTCCCAACTAGTACCTGCTGGTTGATAACAGGGTGAAACCTCTGCTGGTAGGGCACCCGTGGCACGGTGATTCTTTGGCGGGACGAGGCCTGGCTCAGGCTGCCCTGCGGCTCTTCCTCGGGCTGCCTGCGGGCCACCTGCGGGCAGAAGGAGGAGGAAGAGGTGTGTGATGAATGCGGCTGCATTTGCACAGCTGCCCCCGCGGTGCCCGCAGGCCCGGTCCTGCACCCAGGCGGCTCCGTACGGCCCTGTCCCACCACCGTCCTCTCCCTCCTGCCCCGGCCCTCACCTGGTGCATCCTCTGTGCGCTCGGCCTGCCCTCAGCGGGCCGGGAACGGGCGTTCGCCTCTTTACCGACGGGCATCTCCCACGTCCTGGGACGCTGAAGTGCCGTAGGCTTCCAGGGAAACTGCTGCCTCCTGAGGGAGGCTGCTCCTCTGGCCTGGGGTGCTCCAGGGCTCTCGCTCCTTATATACCCCACGGTCAGCACGGGGGTACCTCCGTCACAATGGCCTCCGGGCACAAGGACTCCCCCTTCATCACAAAGCCTCTGAGGTCACGATGGCGATGCCTGCACCCATGACTGATGCCAGGCAGTCCCACAGCGTCTCCACAGCGACCACCGAGGCTTTGTGATGGCGGCGGCCCCAGGGCTGCTGCGGGCACTCAGAGAGTCAACCAGGTTGGAAAAGACCTTTAAGGTGATCAAGTCCAAGCATTCCCCAGCATAGCCAAGGCCGCCACTAACCCATGGCACTGAGGGCCTCGTCTACACGGTGTATGAACGCTTCCCGGGAAGGTGACTCCACCGCTGCCCTGGGCAGCCTGCTCCAATGCCTGAGCACCCTCTGCGAAAGCAATTGTTCCTAAACTCAGTCTGGTGCAGTTTGAGGCTGCTTCCTCTCATCCTATCTCTTGTTCTTTGTGTGAGGAGAGAGGCACTTCCTGGCTCCGTCTTCCTGTCAGGTAGCTGTTGAGAGCAGTAACCTCCCCCGAGTCTTCTCCAGACTGAACCCCCCCAAGGTCCCTCAGCCCTTCCCCATCACACTTGTGCTCCAGGCCTTTCACCAGCTCCGCTGCCCTTCTCCGGCCCCGCTCCAGCACCTCAGTGTCTCTCTTGTAGTGGGAGCCCAGGTGTGAACACAGAATTTGAGGGGTGGCCACACCAATGCCCAGTAGAGGGGGTGTCCCCTGTCACGGCCCTGGTTCTGCTGGCCGCGCTAATGCTGATACAGGCCAGGATGTTTGCAGGTTCAAGCCCCTGCCCTTTGCCTCATACCATTGGCCACAGCTCATAGATCCAGCTGGTCCAGATCCCTCTGCAGAGGTTTCTGCCCTCTAGCAGATCAGCACTCCCACCCAACTTGATGTCATCTGTACAGTGCTTCGGGTCCTTGCCTCCCATCCTATTATGATGGTGAGTAGAGCATTCCAGACGTAGTGAAGAAGAGTACTTTTTGGATGGACAATGCCATGCATTGCCCCTGGAGCCATCAGGGAAAGGCAGGCTGCCCAGCAAGGCTTGGTCCCGCTCCTGATAAGCAGCCCATCGTTCTGTCACCTTCACCTTCACATACCTGAGCTACCTCACACATATTTACAGGCTTTATCCTTGCAGCAGCTCCAAGCCGTTCTTCTTATTCCTCCCATCCCTTCTACAAATCCCTCATGCCCATTAGAGTGCTGCAACATGCAGCTGGCTTCAAAAGGCAGCTGACGTGTGAGCCACCGCATCACACCCTGCTTCATGCCATCGGGACGCGCTATTCCTGCATGGGCAGCACGTGCTGCCCAGAGGCAGCAAGTCTGCAAGCCCACCAGCTGGGAAGTGCCTCAAGGAAAGAGGTCGCTCCCCAGGCTTCTACACTGCTGACACGAGGGAAAAGCAGTAGGCGGCAGAGGCGAGCAGTGGGGGGAAAGGGGAATGGTTTATTGTCCCAAGAAGGTGTCCGCAGCGAGCGCAGCCTGCAGCACGATGTCCTGAGCGCAGCTCTGTCGGGGCTGGCGCCGGCAGTGGGGCACTACTCCTGCTCTTGTGTGTCCATGGAGGAGAAGCTGGAAGTCTTGCCTGGAGAATTCATTGCTCTCCTGAAGCGGGATGGTTGTCGCTTCATGAATGAGACCTGCAGAGCTCTGTCTGCAAGTATGCACTGCCTTTGGGCACGTGCCTGTGATGCTGCCTCCTCAGCGTCGTAGGGTTCAGAGCCAGGGGAAGCTGGTACCAGCTCCTCCTCTTGTGTCAGGGCATCGAGAGGTGTGCGGTGCTGCTCTTGCTCAGCAGCTGCAGGCAGGGTGGGAGCTGCTGGCTCAGTGTCAGTGGGTCCAGTCAGGGCAGGAGACAGGCTCTGTAGCTCCTCAGCAGCCTCTCGTGCTGTCTCTCGTGCTGCCTCTCCTGCTGCAGCTGTGCCCACACTGCTGGGGCTGCTGGATCCCTCCTGGGGACCCGCGTGGCGGGCCTGGGAGAGCTCTGGTGCAGAGGTGTCGCCATAGGTGTCCCGTACGCTGATGGCTTCCTCCTGGGACAGCTCTTTGTCCCTGTCATTTTGTGACTCGGTTTTCACCTCCTCTGCCTGTTCCTTGGCCGAGTTTGCTGGCAGTAGCAGGCAGAGGCGAGCAGTGGGGGAAAAGGGGTATGGTTTATTGTCCCGAGAAGGTGTCTGCAGCGAGCGCAGGCTGCAGCACGGTGTCCTGAGCGCAGCTCTGTCAGGCCTGGCGCCGGCAGTGGGGCACTACTCCTCTACCCGTGGGTTCATGCAGGAGAAGCTGAAAGTCTTGCGCAGAGACTTCATTGCTCTCCTGAAGCGGGACGATCGTCGCTTTTGGAGCGCTCCTGCATCCGGCTGGGTGGCAGTGCCTGCGGGGATAGGAGAGCTGTAGGCATGGGGCTGGGTGGGCGCTGGGCAAGCTCCTGCTGCCACCCAGCACCGCGGGCTTTCCCCGGGGGCTTTCCACTGAAGGCTTTTTGGCCCTCGCCCACGGAGTGGAGGCCGGGGCACAGGTGAAGTCATGTTCACGCTGCTGCCAGCCTGGCCTGGCTGCCACTCGACGCAGGGACGTACCTGACTCGTCCTCAGTGTCCTGAACTGCTGCAGGTGACACTGGCGGTTCCTCCTCTTGTGCTGCCCGTGAGGCAGGGGCACTGCTGGCCTCACCTTGATGGTTTTCAGATGCTCTCCTGAGTACTTTGCGCACGAATGAGAGCTGCAGAGCTCTTTCTCTAAGTGTGCGCCGCCTTGGGGCAGGTGCCTGAGATGCTGCCTGCTCTGCGACACAGGATGCAGAGCCAGGGGAAGCTGGTGCCGGTGCCTCCTCGTCCTCTTGTGCCAGGGCAGCGAGAGGTGTGCGGTGCTGCTCTTGCTCAGCAGCTGCGGGCAGGGTGGGAGCTGCTGGCTCGGTGTCTGTGGGTCTGGCCAAGGCAGGAGACAGGCTCTGCAGGTCTCCAGCTGTCTCTTCCGCTGCCTCTTCTGCTGCCTCTCCTGCTGCGGCTGTGCCCACGCTGCTGGGGATGCTGGATCCCTCCTGGGGTCCCGCGCGGGGTGCGTGGAAGAGCTCAGGCACCAAGGGGTTGACATAGATGTCCCGTATGGTGATGGCTTCCCCTTGGGACAGCTCTTTGTCCCAGTCACGTTCTGAGGACTCCTTCACCTCCTTGACCAGGGCTCTGGTCCGTATGTTGCCCTTGATGACGTCCAGCAAATGGGACAGCAGTTGGTCTCTGTCCTCTTCCCTTTTGTGGTCGTTCTCCTCTTCCTGCTCCTTCTCAGTGGGCAGTTCCTCCTGTAATCACACAACCGGGATGCAGGGATGAGTGTGCTGCAGCTGGGGCAGCGTAGTGCCTGGTCCCAGGCAGGAGCAGGCTCATCCCCCTGTGTTGTCCCATCCATCATTGGCGCTCACCTGTAGGTACTGGAACAACGCCCTGTGTCTCGGGCAGCAATATTGCCTCTGGCTGTCTTGCAGCTGGAGCTCCCTCTCCTCAGGGCCTCCCAGCAGCCCAAGCAGGCTGGCTGTCCTCTGCCTGTCCAGACTGTGCCTGCTGCTGGCAGTGCTGCTCCTCTTCTGCCCCTCCAGGACCTCTGTCCAGGCGATCACCAGGAATGTCTCTGCCACACGCAGCCTGGGGGAGGCACCTGCCTCCTGCACCTCGAGACCTGTGGTGCTGGCACATGCGCCTCAGTCACTGGGGGCTGAGATTCCTGATCTGAGGGAGAAGCAGCTGCCATGTCCTTCTATGCCTGCTCCTGGGCAAGGTGGGGGTGTCGCAGCCTCTGCCCCTGGGAGCTCTGTCAATGAAAATGTCGTTTCACCCTTTTCTGCTGCTGGGGAGACAACAGCATTGGTGGCCTCTTCTTGCTGTTCTCCCAACACGGGTGACACCATGTCTTGTACACCTCCTGCTGCTGCAGTAGCGGGAGGGGCTGTGGCCACATGAGACCCAGCGTCCTCAAGTGCTGCAGGACTGCTTGTGGGCACCGCCACATACAAACACTGTGTCGTGTCCCGGTGTTCCAGAGGCTGCTGTTCGGTTCCCCTGACCACAGCCACAGAGTGGACCATAGGCTCCCACTCTGTGGGTGTGGATATCACCTGCAGAGCTGTGTCACATACTGCGAGGCTCTGCGGGACACGTGCCTGTCTCGGTGCCTGTGCTGCTGCCTGCGGCTCGTCAAAGCCAGGGGAAGCTGGTGCCGGTGCCTCCTCGTCCTCTTGTGCCAGGGCAGCGAGAGGTGTGCGGTGCTGCTCTTGCTCAGCAGCTGCGGGCAGGGTGGGAGCTGCTGGCTCGGTGTCTGTGGGTCTGGCCAGGGCAGGAGACAGGCTCTGCAGGTCTCCAGCTGTCTCTTCCGCTGCCTCTTCTGCTGCCTCTCCTGCTGCGGCTGTGCCCACGCTGCTGGGGATGCTGGATCCCTCCTGGGGTCCCGCGCGGGGTGCCTGGGAGAGCTCAGGCACCAAGGGGTTGACATAGATGTCCCGTATGGTGATGGCTTCCCCTTGGGACAGCTCTTTGTCCCAGTCGCATTCTGAGGACTCCTTCACCTCCTCCGTCTGTTCCTTGGCCAGGTTTGCTGGCGCCTCCTGTAAACACAGCGCAGAACATCAGAGCTAACAGCTCTCTCCCCAGCCACATCTCTCTCAGGGGCTGCAGGTGCTTGTGTGGGTGCTGTGCTGTGGGCTGCCTTCTCCCTGTGGCCCCGTGACCTGCGCCAGGGCTGCTGGTGCATCAGCCCGCCCCTTGGGTTCCAAGGCTGCTGCTGGTGGCTGCTCACTGGGAGGGAGGTCCCTCACAGGCTGCTCTCCTTCACAGCCTTTGCTCGAGAGGAGTTTGAGGGGCGGGGAAGCAAGAGCACAGGCAGGGGAAGGAGGGAA